CCCCGTTGTCATCGTTGACGATACCTGCTCCTTGTTCTATAGTCCAGAAAATTAAACATTTATAGCTCTATAGTGAGCCTAAGTATGCCGATTGCCTATCGATCCAAGGACGATCGCTTCTAACTTGGACTGTCCGGGTACGGATTTTCATTCAAAAACATTTGTTCGGCCAATAGAGTTAATAGCAGCTGGAGGAAATCTGTTATTTGTAGACTAAGTGTAAACATAGAGGTTCCTCTTCGTCCCTCCGCTTCCATGTTACATGTTGCTTTGGATAAAAACAAAATATCGCTGCAAACGATATATCAAGCATTATAAAGTGTCCATACTTACTTTGGAGACGACAATCTACAAGTTGTGGATGGAGATGTGACAGAAATTGGTCGAGGATGATTTTCTAAGTGTTATAATATTTAATGAAGTGTCATTTTATTTTAGAACTGACATTTTTTATTACAGTGAAAGTGTTCTGAAAATCATGTGGTCTCTGCCAGATATCTTACCCCCCATTTTTCTGTTATTGTATTTTTAAAAAATCTGTCTTGTACAACATACATTTTATTATTGACTGTCTATAGGGTATGCTGTGGTAGTTAAGATTTTATTAGTTATTAGTAATGCAAAATAAAATTTGCAAACAATTGTGAAGTTCCATATGTGTAGTTGATATTATCAGTATGTGTCAATAATTATGCTTAATGTCCATGAGTGAGACTCTGTAACGTTTCAGGATTGAGATTAGTAGATTATATTCCATGAAAATTAAAAAAAAAAAAAGTGTAATGTGTGATACCTCAATAAAATATTTTGCAGACAATTTATTTTGAGAACACCAGCTTTTTTTTATTATCCTGAATAATTTTAATAATTTTCATGTAAGACAAATGGAATCATGCGTCATGGTACTGTTGAGTTACAGAAATCAATCAAGTCATCATAACCAATTTTCACTGTTGGCTGGGTGAATAGAAGGATTAACCCTCAATGGCAAATAGATTCCTTATTTTCTTCTTTGAAATTTGCAAGTATTTGTTTTTGGGTGCATCTTCAGATCAATACTAAATTCCTGGCTAACCTTTCACTATTTTATTTAAATATTTTACTAAATACAAAACATTGGAAGGGATCCAAATTTCAGCATTTCTTCTCAATGACTTCCTTGACAGTAGGTGGTTTAAAAACAAATACATAAACTGCCCAGGCCATTTCATCCATTTCTCTTAGGCACTACTCTTTAAAAATGACGTTGGTCCTTTTTGAGCTGCCTATGCAGAGACACATTGAGGCGGTTTCTCATGCACACAGTGTTATTTCCCTTCTTTTAAACCTGTGACGCATTGAATGAGATTTCCTTCTAATGGTGCTAGTCGTGAGTTTCTCTCGTCGCTCATCGGCAATTAACTTCTCGTTTTTCATGTTGGCGACATTCATTTGCAGGGATTCCGACACGTGAGAAACATGTCCTGTGTTTGCGTTTGGGATGCAGGCAGCTTGCAGCAGGATGAAGGCAGTGATGGGTGTCACTGTCTCTTGTAAATGAAAAGGCTTTCTTCCCAAAACAGAATCTTGATATTTTCCTGGATTTTAAATAGCAGTTTGGGCAATGGATTAAGGGTGAGAGTTTGGGCTGCTCGTGGTGTTTGGTAATGAATGAAAAACGAAAACCGACTTGGAAGTGCATCTGACCATGATCTAAAATAATATATATATATATATATATATATATCCCAGAACAATGGCCACTAATGTTATAAGTCATTTAATGACACTGAAGCAGTTTCTCCAAATAATAACTGATTATTTTTCCTTCCTTTTACTCCTCTCAGGCCCTGTAAGAGAAAGGGAAAGTTAAGGATGCTGGAGCAGAACAATGGATTTCTCCTTCTCTTTCATGCAAGGGATCATGGGAAACACAATCCAGCAACCACCTCAGCTCATTGACTCGGCCAACATCCGGCAGGAGGAGGTTTATCACAGCAGCGGTGATGCGGGAGGCGATGAGGGCCCCTCCACCTACGACTCCGCCCTGGAGTCGGGCTTTTGCTACCCTGCGGATGACCTACCAGTGGTGGCCAATGGCTACCCAGCAGGCTTCTATGAGCCGCAGGCCAAGTACTCCATGTATGCGCCATTCCCCAATGGCTCTGCCAACGGATATGGTGCCGTACGTGTTTATGGGGACCACTGCCCTCTGCCAGGGGGAGAGGGGACGGTGATGAGGCCACCTGTCATGCAGGAGAAGCCCCTGGCACCTACCTCACTGCCCCCCCACCATCACCACTTCCTTCCCCACCATCAAGCCCGTCCTCAGACCCCGCCCCCTCTGCCCCCCCACCATCATCACCCTCTGGCCCCGCCCCACCTCGCCCCTCCTATTCTGCCCCCTCCCCCACCTCTACTCCTCCCCACCTCCTCACCGGTGCAGCCGCTGCTCCCTTCATCAGGGGTGGTGGACGCAGCCCCGCCTTCACGCCCCCCGGCCCCTCCCACTCAACCCGTCCCCAAGAAGACAGGCTCCCCCGAGATTAAGCTGAGAATCACCAAGACGTACCAGAACGGGCGGGAGCTGTTTGAGTCCTCGCTCTGTGGTGACCTGCTGCACGAGCTCCAAGCTGGGGAGGTGTCCCACCGCCGGCACGAGCGGAAAAAGGAGCGGAGGAAAAGGAGCAGCCAGGACCCCCAGCAGGAGCCCAGGCCGGAGGTGCTGGTGGAAACAGCCCCAGAACCGGGTCCACTGTGCCAACTGCCCGAACCTGCACCAGAGGTGCTATCTGGGGGTCTCAAGACCCCCAAGGAAGAACCCAAGGAGCAGAGCGTGAGTGCAGTGCCCCCTGTTGCTTGGCTGCTGTATAGCGCCTGCTGCTATGTCAGTATGATTAAGTTAAGTCCTTAGCTAGAGTGTTCTGAAATGTTTCTTCTGACCTGTGATTTGTCTTTGATGGCTTGGTGGTTTGGTCCAAGACATTGTACCTCAAACTGAAAAGAAGCAAATGAATGTTGCAAATTGATGCATTTGTGTTTACCTGTTGTGGCCTTATTCATTTTAGTTGACTTAGGCTGCTATGTTTGATTTAACCTTTACTAATTTTGCTAGGGGTTGCATTAAGCATTGTGTGGCTACCATGTTATCAAGGGCGCTATACAAAAGTATGGAATATGAATACAGTTTTTTCTTGTTGCCAGATTCAAAAGCACTCAGCCCCTGCCACCTCAGCCCCTGCCGCCTCAGCCCCTGCCGCCTCAGCCCCTACCACCTCAGCCCCTACCACCTCAGCCCCTACCACCTTAGCCCACCATGAAGTGGGTGACTTGGTGTGGGCCAAGGTGGGGACCTACCCCTGGTGGCCCTGCATGGTGTCGCGTGACCCCCAGCTGAACATCAGTACCCGGATAAACACCAGAGGTGACCGGCCACTGCCAGCCAGTGCTGCTTCCACTGTCAAGCCCTTTATAGATTTCTGTGTGGGTTTGGGTTAAGCACACTTTATAGAATATAAATAAATTCTTGACTCCCTTTGACACAGTCTGCAGATCTCGCCTATTGATTAAACTGCTTGCTAAGCCAATTAGACATTTGACTAAATGACCCACTTGTGAAAAGCAGAGAATCACAGTCTTAAGTTCAACAGCCAGACAAAAATACACATATCCAATGGGAAAGATGTGGTCAGGGAAATGGGACTAACTTATGGCAAACAAAATGGATTAAGTAATAATAACAGTGATACCAGTGGAGAATAATGTAATTATATGCATTTTAAATAAGAAATAATAATAATACATTAATTAGTAATATCATAAAAATCTCCTGTGGGTCGTATGAGTCTCACTAGAATTGCCTAGTAAGTTAAACTGAACTTATGCCGAACTCCCTAACTTACCAAGAGTCGGGGTTAGTGAGTCACAGCCAGCATGTGGCCGGGCGTCATTACGGTATGCGGAACGGCCCGGAAGGTAGCATGACTACAGACAGTCAACGAAAAGGAAATGTAAGTGAATTAGAAAAGGTTGTTGTGTTTTTTCATGATGATTTGCCAAATATTTTTGGGTTTTTAATGCATTGATATACAAAAAGTTTGATTATTTTAGATTTGAATGCCAGATCGAGTCATTTATTGACAAAAAAAAAGAGTTCAAAAGAACTATTTATTCACAAATTGGACTTGGATAGCTGTTTCTGCATGTAGCGTATCTCAAAAAACCCATGTTGTGTTGTAGTTTGCGTAGTGCTTTTCTCTCCGACTGAAAATCGCACAAAAACAAGTGCAATTCTGCGTTGTACTAGACTTGGGTACAAACATATCAATCGCGTGAAACAGATTCGCGGATTTCAACATGTAAACTTCATATAGACACAATTGACAGCTTTGAGTGCCGGCCAGACCGAAGCGATCTATCCAAGATTATGTCAAGTGCTTCCAGGAGTTATATCTTTGAAATCACCATCTCAAACTAAGCAAAATATTTTTGATGCAAAAACAGACCGCAGCATAATTTTGGGCAGAGACATTAGCATTTAAGTACTTTTTTTATCCGTATAAGTAGCACGTTTAGAAATTGGTTTGTGTCTTTCAACCATTTTGTGACTGTCAGGATACATATACAGATAAAAATATAAAATATACATAAACATGGATGACTTCACTGACGAGGAGTGAATGGGTAGTTTTTTCTGGGTTCACCCAATTTAGCTTGTTTTTTGAATAAAAGCTTATGACAGATATTGATCATATGGCCCAACACCGATATCAGCTTACCTTTATAATGGTGGCTGCTTTATTATTCATGTTAACAAGCTAAAAGTGCACATTTGGACTGATGTCCATGTTCAAATATTCGAAATATATTTCTTTTAATGGAATTATGATTGTAAAATGACTTAATGATCGAAACTTTTATGTTTTCATAATGTAATCACTTTAGAACTTTTAAATATAATTTCCAAATAAAGTTTTATGAGTTTTTTACGTTTTATGGCCAACTTCCAGGAGGGCCGGCAGTCCATGAGTAACAGGTTATGTGGAGGCCAAATCTCAGCAGCACACCATGCATATGGCTGGCGGGGAAAATTGCACTTATGAATCTATTTAACATTCAATACATACACACTGAAGTGTAAACCAAGACGGGCCCAGCCTCATATATATAAAAAAAAAAAACAATGTGAATTCATGAATATCGTGGTTACGGCGACAGCTCTACCTGTCCCCCCTTCCCCACCCCCCTAAGGTCATCGAGAGTATCACGTGCAGTTCTTTGGAAGTGTCCCAGAGAGGGCTTGGATCCACGAGAAGAGGGTGTTGCTGTACCTGAGTCAACATCAGTTTGAAGACCTGCAGGCAGAGACTCTACGCAAGACCTCCAACCCTGCAGAGAGACACAAGGTACGTGGGGCTTTCCTCTCCTTTCCTCTCCTTCTACTTTCCTCGCCTTTCCTCTCCTTTCCTCTCCTTCTACTTTCCTCTCCTTCTACTTTCCTCCCCTTTCCTCTCCTTTCCTCTCCTTTCTTCTCCTTTCCTCTCCTTTCTTCTACTTTCCTCTCCTTTCTTCTCCTTTCCTCCCCTTTCCACTCCTTTCCTCCCCTTTCCACTCCTTTCCTCTCCTTTCCTCCCCTTTCCTCTCCTTTCTTCTCCTTTACTCCCCTCTCCTCTCCTTTCCACTCCTTTCTACTCCTTTCCTCTCCTTCCCTCTCCTTTCCCCCTTTTGTACGCTGCACTCTTATTCCCTGGGTGGGAATTCCCGCTGGGATGTAAATGGGTCACTTAAACCCAGCTTTGCTTTGGTAATTCCTTATGAAGGCTGTGCTCACCTTTCTTGAATTAGCAACGGCCCACAAAACCAAGACTTAACCTGATGTGGAGATCCAGTGTATAATGCTGTTCAGTAGGGTGGTGTTAGTGAGTGTGTAACGTCTCCGGCAGCTTCTGAAGCCCCAGTCTCAGCGAGAGCGCTCCCAGTGGGAGGTGGGCGTCAGCCACGCGGAGGACGCCCTGCCGATGAGCCGGGAGGAACGCGTAGAAACCTACACCTTCATCTATGTGGACGAGGAGCCGGCCAAGCCCAAGTTGGCCAGCAAGCCGGCACGGAGGGCCCAGCGCTCTAGGGGCAGCACGTCCGGGGGCAGGGATGATAAAGCGGAGGCAGCCGAGCCTGTGCAGGAGGGGCCCCCACGCCGCCAGCAGCCTCCGAGGCGGTGCAGCACGGCTAGGGAGGATCCACAGGACGTGCAGGGGGAGCAGAGCCTCCTCAGCAGTCCACAGAGGAGCCCGGAGGGACCCACTGAGCCTGCGGAACCTACACCCCCAGTGAAGACGGCCTGGCGGACGGCCGCTGCACGCAAGCTGCTCCCACTCTCCATCACCATGAAGAAGCTTAACGTGGAGATCACCAAGTGTGACTGGCCCCCTCCCCAGAGGAAGAGCCCATCACCTAAGGAGACAGAGAGTAAAGGGCAGCAGGACAGCCAGGCGCTCAGCTCCCCCAGGGTATGATCCCTGTTTTATGTTCCTTTCGTGTGACTGTTCCACTATACCTGTGTTGCATTCGTGTGACTGTTCCACTGTCCCCGTGTTCCATTGGTGTGACTGTTCCTACTGTAACTTTCCATTGCTGTGATTATTTGATTGTTCCAGTGTTCCACTGGTGTGACTGTCCCACTATAACTGTGTTTCATTGCTGTGCCTGTTCCAGTATCCCTATGTTCCTTTGGTGTGACTGTTCCACTATATCTGTATTCCCGTGATTGTTCGATTGTTCCTGCTTTCCATTGGTGTGTTTGTTCCACAGTTACTATGTTCCATTGATGTGACTGTTAAAACTGTACCACGTTCCATTGGTGTGATTATTCAATTGTTCCGGTGTTCCGCTGGTGTGACTGTTCCAGTATCCCTATGTTCCATTGATGTGACTGTTCCACTGTACCCGTGTTCCTATGACTATATGATTGTTCCTCTGTTCCATTGGAATGACTGTTTCACCACTGGATTTAATTTGGCTCTTAATAGGGTCTTCAGGTTTCAGGCGGAAAAGCGGAAGTGAGCTGTAGGGAGCAGGAGAAGGTCATGTCACCTGTAGGGCGAAGAAGTGAGCAAGGCGTTCCCCAGCACTCCGCCTCCACGGATGTCTTGCCTGGAACCCAGGCAGCACAAACAGGTAGGAACCGTCTCTAGGCCGTTGAATATACACGTCTCACTGGCTGGTGATGATTGTCAAAGGTGTGACAGGTGCTTGAAAACAGGTTAACGATCTGACACTCAGATGGACCTTAAAGTAAAGGCGCTCCTGTGTTAATGATCCTGACCTTAGTCATTGTAGCAATCAGCCAGAAACATCTCAAACCTTAGTCCTCGTGGAAGATGAAAAGGAGTCCATGTGGCGATCTCCATCCACCCCCCCCCCACACCCCAACAGGGCCTCCGGAACGCAAGCAGCAGCGGCGGTATTCTCGGAGCCGCTCCGAGTCGGAAAAGGGCTCTGAGCCCGTGCCGAAGAAGAAGGTGAAGAAGGAGCAGGTATGATGCTCGACCTGAGAGGCTTCACTGAAACTGACTGCCTGATTTTACCATAAATGTTGCATCATGATTCAAAATTGGTTAAATGAAAAGTGGGCAAATTGCACCTCCCACTCACGTGTCTCTCGTGATTCCTGGGCTTTTGCTTATGACTCATAACTGATGTTTGAGCAAAGATCGAAGATTTAACTCCTTGACGCCAAACTCTTGCTTGGTTTCTTGCCAATTAAAGATGAGTGGAATGGAAAACAGTCTAACTGAGTGGAGGTTTTGTAAAAAAAAAAAAAAAAAAAAAAAAAATTAAAAAATTTTCAGAAGAGATGCTGGATGGACACAGATGAGGCATTTGAAGCTGCGCTTTCACAAAAACATTTTCTGTGTCACATTTCTCTACAGGCTGAATCCATTCCCCAGACGGCTCTGAAGACTGCATTGCAAAAAGGTTGTTGTAATGTGTAAATAGATTTTTATATGTAGGTATTTAAAAATACAGTTTTACAGATTTTACTGCGGCACCTGAGCAAGCCTCTTGTACCTACAGTGATGTGGGAGGGAATCGGGGAATAGGGCTGTTTACGGGTCTCCTTTGGGTCGGTGAAGTGGAGTTTCTACATTACCGACAGCATGTTCCAGTCCATGTGATATTGGTGATCTGTCCAACATGTCCGCTGTGTTTTTTCATTGACTAATCAGCACTTCTCTATTTGGGTGGATAGCTGCTGCACTGTTTGTTCAGTGTTTTCCATTGGATGGTTGCTATGGTAACAGTAACATTCCAGATGCTTATTGTATACATTTAATTGATGCGTAGGTAAATTACTTAATTTTCACTTAACTATGTTCATTGACAAGCACAGTATTAAAGTAATGTTTGGTTAATATTTTAAAAAGTGCCCTTCAATGCACTGCAATGTAGGTGTTAAGCGTGAGTGTGATGGGTGTGTAGATTGGTTTCTGTCGCGTGGGGGTGGCTATTTCCACAGCCAGGGGGGGCCATAATCGCTCACAGCAGCTTTTGAGCCTCCCGTAAGCATCCGAGCAAGATGCATCGTGGGAAAAACGGTGTGCTGATCATGTTTGGCTCCCCCACATTACACTCCTGGGTCAAGTGGCTGCTAGACTGGAATTAAATGCTGAATATAATTGGGGTGGATGGAGGGTGGGGTTGTGGCAGCACGCCAGTCATCCGCCAAAATCCTGCGACACTGAAATTGCTGCCTGCCCCCCCCCACCCCGCCCCCACTTCCTGCACTCCCACAGGAGCCAGCGAGATCTCCGACTCCTGCAAGCCGCTGAAGAAGCGGAGTCGGGCCTCCACGGACGTAGAGATGAGCAGCTCCCAGTACCGCGACACCTCCGACTCGGACTCCAGGGGTCACAATGACCCACAGGTGGGTGCCCAGATCCGGTGGCCCCCACCGCTTCCGAAGCGACGTTTCGCCAGACGTGAACCCAGTGGGCAGGTCATACACGAACCTCTTCTTAATGAACATCAGTCGTAAGGAACTGACCTTTCACCCCAACATGTGTGTTTACTGTAATTAGTCCAATTACACATTAACATTCATTTGAAAATTAAGTCACACTGTATTTTGAGTAGGGACTGATGAACATATAATTTCTGAATTAATAGCATGCCTCTGATTGCACTAGCCATTAAGAAAAGCAGCTTATTTTAAAGGATCGAGATACTGTTTAAGTGTAGCCATTGTGATCCGAGGCTTCTTCATATGTATCGGCTGATTAGCAGTTGTAGTCCGGTGCAATCTGGTGGCTTCAGAGGCATATTTTGTTTGCGTCCCACCCCCTGTTCATCTGGAGATCAGGCCGCTCTGTACGCTCGCACTCTTCCACCAGTGTCAGCCGAGCTTATGCTGCCCCCTGTAGGTGGGGTTCGGTAAGCGCTCCGACAGCCCTGCGGTCACAGACGCCGATGGCTCAGATGCACAGTCAGTGGACTCCAGCGTGTCCGTGACGGGTGGAGGCGTGTCTCGGAAGGACACCGTCTGCCAGGTGGGCCCCCCCGTCGTGGATAACATGGGCCACGTCGTCGTTTTCTAAGAAGTAAGATAAGAATGTCATAGAAAAATAGATTAGAAGATTACATCACGCTTCTAAAGTAACAGAACAGTAACAGTTCTAAAGTAACAGACAGAACTGAGCTCACTTAAATACATAAGGAAATATATATATATATATAGAGAGAGAGAGAGAGCAAGTAAATTACGGTGATTCATGTCTGGTTTTATAGAGTAAATTGTTACACCACATGTTCAAGTGGCAGAGCTGAAGTCTGATGAATTTCTGGACTTGCTATTGGATGCTGAATGGAGAGATGTAATTGGTTAAATTGCACTGCTCCGTCTGAATGGTCCCCTGGCGTGATGTCATAGCCTGCCCCCTGGGGGGTCTTTGCAGATCTGCGAATCCTTCGGGGAGGCCCTCTTGAGCTGTGACGGGGACTGCGGCCAGCTCTTCCATGCGCAGTGTGTGGGGCTGACGAGTCCCTACAAAGGGAAATTCACGTGTGCGGAGTGTAAGACGGGTAGGTCTGTCGCTGGAGCCGCGTTCGGGACGCCCCTACGCACGCTGGCCGCGTTCGGGACGCCCCTACGCACGCCGGCCGCGTTCGGGACGCCCCTACGCACGCCGGCCACTGTTGAATTCTTGGTTTGTACTGTCGGTCATTTTAATAGACAGATGGTTGTATAAATGTGGCCAGAATTCCTCCCACAGTCAAATAACATGAAGTTTGGTGAATTTTTGCCGAATTGGTGTCTCAAAATTTCTGATTGTGTGTGTGTGTGTGTGTGTGTGTGTGTGAGACAGAGAGAGAGAGAGAGAGAGGATGCACGCATGCCCAATAGTGGACTAGTCTCCTATTTCAGATGCCCTGTGCATTCTGATTCTAGTAGGATGGACCTAGGTTCACCATGATGGATGGATGGAAACCTCACAACGTTGACATGTAAAAAAAAATACATTTATCCAGTAGGTCATCTGTTGTCAAGGCAACCATTGAACTGTTCTGAGCTACACCAGGAACGGTACATCCGGTGTAGAAGGTGTGCATGCTGCAAGGTCACGGACTGGGGCCTGTGCACCTCGGCCCAGCGAGTCTCACCCTGTCCTCTCTGCCTCCTCCCTAGGCGCTCACACCTGTTTCTCCTGCAAGGTGTCGGATGGAGATACTGTCTGCTGCTCAGCTAGTGGCTGTGGCCGCTTCTACCACGAGGCGTGCGCCCGCAAGTACCCGGGCACCGTGGCCGATCCCAAGGGCCTGCGCTGTCCCCAGCACACCTGCGCCACCTGCTGGCTGGAAAGAGACCTGCACAAGGCAACCAAAGGTAAAGCAGTGTTCCCTCTTTCAGTGTCAGTGCAACCTTCCACACCGTAACTGGGTAAATGTTTTTCTGTGATATATAGTATATTTGAAATGATTTCAGTGTAGACATGTTTAAAGAGTTTTCTCTAATATTACACAACTACGGCTCTTTTCATCTCTCTCTTTTGTTTATGTGTTTGTGTGTGTTTGTGTGTGCCCCCCCGCGCGCTGCAGGCCGGATGCTGTGCTGTATCCGCTGTCCCGTGGCGTATCACACTTCGGATGGCTGCATCGCCGCCGGCAGCTCCCTCATCACGCCGCACGTCATCATCTGCAGCGAGCACTCCAGTGCGCGCAGGAATGGTCACGCCGTGTCCCCGGTAAACGTAGGCTGGTGTTTCGTCTGTGCCCGAGGTGAGCCCCCCCCCCCCCCACGTTGGTCTCTCGCTCTCGGGTTGACAGGTCATGAGGAAGGAGTTTAAAGATTTTAAAAGATATTTTATTTATTTATCAAATTTACTCTGCAGAGAAAATCTCTTGATGTTGAGACCTTCATTGCAGTCTCAGTAGTCTCTTCGGTCCAGAGCAGTTTCATCTAGACCCTAGATTCTAGGAAGATCTTTGTGGCTGTATTATGAACATAGTGTCCAAATGGGAGGGGTCTCATTGAAACAGATTCTTTATAAATACTAATAATTATAGTTATTTAAAATTTACCTTTCACTTCACCCGATTCAGAGTTTCTGTGGGGGACAATATTACTAAAATACAATTTATTATTACAGTTTTATTAGTATTAATTTTAAGACCAGGATTTGTATTTAAGTCCTGTAATAAGATATCTTAAAGTTTTGTGTTGAATATTTTTTTGCATATAGGAGCATTTTACTTTCAAATATTTTGAATTTCAGCAGAGCTGTTCAGGCCAGTGAAGGATGGTACTAATGTGACTTTTGTTCGCCCTAAAGATTAAATAGATTTTAAAGAAATTACTCGCCTAATTGCAGTAAAATCTATTTCATCTGAAGGACGAACAAAAGTCGAAATAGCACCTTCCATTACTGGCATGAACAAGTCTGCTAAGCTTCATAATTAGATCAACATCAATCTGATTTGATTACGTTTTGGTCGTATTAGTGTTTGGTCACGTTTGTTGTCTTTTCCTTGTTTGGCAGCATAAGCAGTGATTGATGTTGACATTCAAACTGGAGACTTCATTATTCCTTCTGTCTGTTTTCCTTTCAATGTCATTCTTCCCTTTGTCTCTTTTTCAGTTTATCTTCCTCTCGCTCGCCCTTTCTCCCCCTCCTCTGTCTTTCTTTTTCTCCCTTTCACCGTCTCCTTTTCCCAATCTTTCTCTCCCTGTCTTCTTCGTTTCCTTCTCGCTCCCATTTTCTTTTTCCCATTCTCCTTCTTCCCTCACTCCCTATCTCTTCTTTCTTCTGTCTCTCTCCTTCGAGCTTCAGAGCCGTTCAATATGATACCAGTTGTCATACCCAAACTTTTGCAGTTTTTGGATGACAAACATGTTTCAAATCACAGGCCCACATTTCCCTGCGATGAGCCACAGGCTTGGTTATTATTCTATGGTCGGAGTGGGACTGTAATTATTTTTGAAATGTTGTACGGAATGACCCATTTTTTCGCTGAGGAGAAAACAAACTCCTCAGAAGTTGTTTGAAATTGACAAGTCAGGGATGCAGCACTAAATATTTGATGAAATGCCTCAAATTTTTCAAATTCTTTTTGTTCTTATTATTTAAACGTGAGAGGATAATGAAATGGAGCTTATGTGGTATAGCTTCCCTGCTGGAGAATATCTTTGTATTGGAGTTACTCTGCATTTGTACCTGTTGTAATAGTGTGTTTTCTTCTTGATGTTCTTTCTGGAATCATGGGTAGCTTCTCTGTGGCTCATTAACTCTCCTGTCTGTTTCACGTGTAGGGATGTTAGTGCAGGACCAATCAGACAACATGTTAAGTTCGTATGCCTATAAGTCACACTACCTTCTGACTGAAACAAATAGTGCTGACTTGATGAAATTACCCATGATTCCTTCTTCTTCGTCAGCTACCAAAAAGAATGTGGGGAAAGGTAAAGGTGCTGATTTTGTTTCTGTCCAGCGTGTTGTGTGTGTGCTTGTTTCTAAGGCTGTGTCAGATTCCTCATCCCGCTTCCCGTTTTTGCGCTTGCCACTTTCCCATCTCCTGCTTCTCAACCGGCCACTGTTTACGCTGCCGCTGAGTTGATGCAAAAAAATGACACTTGAAACAGCGTTTCGTCAGCCTCACGCCCCAAGGGATGGGAATGGTCGTCCCGTCACCAGATTGCATGGAGATGAAACACACCCGCTATACACATTTTTCTCTCCACGTCCGTAACTGAAGCCAGTCGTTGACCCACGGTGACCTGGAGTTCCTCTTCATAAATCAGTCTTTTATGGTTACATGGATAGACAGGCCATGTACGCAGCGGTGTCTTTTTGTTGAATCTGTAGCCTTATTTTGAGCTGGGGTGGTGCTGTGATCCATCATGCTCTCTCCCTCACTCCTCGTCACTCTCTCCTGCCTCCCTGTCACTGTCTCTCACTGCTTCCCTGTCACTGTCTCTTGCTGCCTCCCCATCGCTCTCTCCTGCCTCCCCGTCACTCTCTCCTGCCTCCCTGTCACTCTCTCATGCCTCCCTGTCACTGTCTCTCACTGCCTCCCTGTCACTGTCTCTCACTGCTTCCCTGTCACTGTCTCTCACTGCTTCCCTGTCACTGTCTCTCGCTGCTTCCCTGTCACTGTCTCTCGCTGCTTCCCTGTCACTGTCTCTCGCTGCTTCCCTGTCACTGTCTCTTGCTGCTTCCCTGTCACTGTCTCTTGCTGCCTCCCCGTCACTGTCTCCTGCCTCCCCGTCACTCTCTCCTGCCTCCCTGTCACTGTCTCTCACTGCTTCCCTGTCACTGTCTCTTGCTGCTTCCCCGTTGCTCTCTCCTGCCTGCCTCCCTTCCTCTCTCTCTGCCTTCCCCTGTCACTCATTATCTCTCACTCCCTCCTTCCTCATTGCTCTCTCTCCCTGCCTCCAGATCTGTCTCCTTGTCTCCTTGTTCCCCATCTTCCCACTGCTCACTCCTGCTTCCCTGTCTCACCCTCTCTCTCCTTCCCCGTCGCACTCTTTCCTCGTCTCCCCGTTAGTGTCTCCTGTTGCTGTCTCTCCTTCCTCTCCCTCCCTCCCTGTTTTTCTCTCCTGCTCCCTTCCTGTCTCTCTCTCTCTCAACTGCCTCCCCATCTCTTTCTCCCGCTCCCTTCCTGTCTCTCTCTCTCTCAACTGCCTCCCCATCTCTTTCTCCCGCTCCCTTCCTGTCTCTCTCTCTCCTGCCTTCTCATCTCTTTCTCCCGCTCTCTTCCTGTCTCTCTTTCTCTCTCTGCTTCCCCATCTCTTTCTCCCGCTCCCTTCCTGTCTCTCTCTCTCCTGCCTCCCCATCTCTTTCTCCCGCTCTCTTCCTGTCTCTCTCTCTCTCTGCTTCCCCATCATTCTCTCTCCTGCCTTGCTTAGGGTTTTGGACCCTGCAGAAGCTTGGAGTCTGTGACAGAATCGATTCACCATTGCCACCCTGCAGTTTATCACGCCTTTTGTGCTTTTTATCTCTGCTGCCTTTAAAGTGTTTTCGCTTGTAGAATCCTGGTCAAAATGCCAATAATCACAACAGTATCTTTCCATGAAAGCCATGCAGCAGATTTTCTACTCTTGTTAGAGAAACGTTTGTACACATTTGCCAAAATATGTTGCCATTGCCATGGAGATGATTCAAGGAGCATTGGTAAACAGTATGAGGTGAAATTTCGAGAAGCCACAAAATCATTAAAGACACACAGTGTTGGTATCTCTCTGGTATTGCTGTGTAAAAGGTACCAAGGTTTTGTTCACTGTTCCCTTTTTTGAGTGAAATTCCCCAAATGTGCCATTTGCTATGGCGATGGCTTGCTGGCTGTTCCCCGCCGCCTTCTTCCTGAAGCATGCCAGTGTATCGATGTGAGGGGGGTGTCTGGTTTGGGTAACCGGTTACCTGCACACGTCTCACCAAAAATGCCCAAACAGAGCCTGGCAGAACTGGACCTGTTGGACCTCAACAGTAAGGTTTTTCTGATGGCTGATGCCATCAAAGGATGCAGCCCTTGAATCTGAAGGTATTTCTGGTCTTCAAGATTAGAGAATGAGAAATTAAATAAATTGGGTGGGTGGGTCACTTACCCAGATCCAGTCCCCCTCTGTCCCGACACCAGTGGAACGTGGCATGCTTTGAGGCTTGGGGAATGCTGATCCCGCCCCTTCCCCTATGTCCCTGTGATCCCATTGGTGCAGTGTGAGCAGTGACACGCCCTCCCTCTCTGTGTATGGCCAGGGGGGAGGCTGCTGTGCTGCGAGGCATGCCCCGCCTCCTTCCACCCCGAGTGCCTGAGCATGGAAATGCCTGAGGGGGCGTGGCTCTGCCCAGACTGCAGGTCCGGCAAGAAGCCCCACTACAAGCAGATCGTTTGGGTCAAGCTAGGAAGCTACAGGTAACACGTTGCATTTGTGTGTTTGTTTGTTTGCTTTTATTGCAAATAGTATTAAGCAGAAGTTTGGGAAGGACCAACAGCTATCATGGTGGTTTGAAGTGTAGAAGCAGGATTCCTGCTGTTGTACCATAATGCAAGTCCCAAAGCTGGACTGAGGTATATTAAGGGAGGAAATTTTTAACAGTTGAGAGCAGCACTAAGTTAAAGGCAAAACCAAAAAGCACCGTGAATTTTATGAATGTAAAATCATAATCATGTTGGTGACATTTTTTTCCAAGACGTTTGTTTATATGGTAGAATTTTGGGTTAATTAATATTGTAGCTGTACAACAGCAGTTGCTCTTTTGGGATTTTCAGGAACTCTGTTTTGTCACGGTTGGCCCAGCTGTTGGCCCAGCATGCTCCTGGTTTGTCGCTTACGCTTTGGAGTGAACAGGACGCCCAGCCCAACGGTGAAATGGCCTCTGTCTCCCCTTCAGGTGGTGGCCAGCGGAAATCTGTAATCCCCGGCAGGTCCCCTGTAACATCCAGACCCTGAAGCATGACATCGGGGATTTCCCTATCTTCTTCTTTGGGTCCCATGACTACTACTGGATCAACCAAGGCCGGGTCTTCCCCTATGTGGAGGGTGACAAGCAGTTTGCGGAAGGGCAGATCAGCCTCAACAAGACGTTCAAGAAAGGTACGGCTGGACCAGCCTTTGCATTCTGGGTGTCCATCTTGTCTCTAACTGCTCATGCATAGGTAGTTCCCTATGGTAACACTTTACTGAAGACCACGTTTTTGGTCATTTACTGTATAAACACATTCATAATGCATTATTATGCATTCATAAAGCATTATAAACATGGCTATGAACATTTATAAAAAGGCATAACGCATTATAGCCATGGGTATTATGTATTATGATTGTCTTATGAAGCTCTCATCTGTAATCCACTATAGATACCATTATAATGCAGTATGGCAGCATCCCTAATGTTTATAGCAGGGGTCTCCAACTCCGGTCCTGGAGAGCTACTATCCAGTAGGTTTTCTATCCTACCTGGCTTCTGATGAGCCACACCTGGCCCTGCTATTTACCTGAGAACAGGTGTGGCTCAATCAGAAGCCAGGTAGGATTGAAAACCGAATGGATAGTAGCTCTCCAGGACCGGAGTTGGAGACCCCTGGTTTATAGGGACCATTATAATGCATTATAAAGGTATCTATAGTGCATTATATATAATATATACACATGAGATGTGCTAGATTCTCCTCTTGGCTGCTCACAAAGTTCTACAGATCCGCTATAGGAAGCATTCTTTGTCACGGTATGACAGTGTGGTACGGCAACTGCACAGCACAGGACAGGAAGGACTTGGCACGGGTGGTGAGAACAGCACAGGGGACCATGGGAAGTCCTCTCCCGGGCCTGGACTCCGTATATGCTGGAAGGGTGCAGAAGAGGGCCAAACGTATAGCTGTGGATCTCACCCATCCAGGGCATGGACTGTTTGTACCACTGCCTTCAGGATAGCAGTACAGGAACATAAAAACATGTACCAGTAGCTGAAAGACAGCTTCTACCCCAGAGCTGTGAAGTCTATCTGCCCCTGCTGATACACACACATACATCTACCCCC